TCCTCTTAGTGCTATTCAGTTTGCTGTATATTTTGTAAGTTTATTTCTTAAGGATTAGTTACATCCACGTATCTGAGGTATGATGTAAATACACGGGCGATTACAGAGTTCACATATCCACACAGGTAATCCTGAGTTTGCTGATTACAATTACACGGGTAACCCTGAAGTCCGTTTATTATTTCCTTTCCTTATCAGGGTTACCCTTACTGATACACAAACTCCAGGATCACCCTTGCAATTACACCAACCCACAAGGTATCTGAATGTATTTAATCCATTTTCTCAAGGTTTTTAGATATTGTACCCCAAAACTTAAGTATTTTGAGATAGGTCCCTCAATACCCATTATTTTGAGATAAGTCCCCAAAATTCTATTAGTCAGTCCAAAAAGATCCCTCCCAGTTGAATACAGTTAACCCACAAATTGAGTGACGTCTTTTAGTTTTCTTTCATTGCCCGTTATCTCATCTTCTACCCCGCTCAATCCCATGGGTGACTCAGTAATGTCTCTCCCCAAGCCTATTATAAGCTTACTTCTCCTTCATCTAAACTCATTGTTTTTCACTCTTCTCTCTAGTTTGATTCTAAAGTATTTAATTCACATAAACTGTGTCCTTCACTTGTTTCGTAGTGATGCAAAACAACTTCAATTTACTGAACAGATTCATATTCAAAATACTAAAGAAGCTTTATACATGTGTTCAGTTTGGCTTAACTTCTCAAAATAACCATTTAACCAAAACCCACAAAACAAAAACCCTAATTCAGAATTCATACATGTTCTCAATTTCACTTGTTCTCCAACAACTCAAATCCAATCTCTGTCTTCCATATCAAGTTTCTCAACTGCTTCAACTGGTAAAGTCTTGAAAGAGTACAAATTGAGTTTCTGATCATTGGGGCCAGGCCCCAAGTTTTCGGTTTTGAAGGAAAAAAAAAGAAGTGGAAAGGAGAATTATTGAGGGGAGAGAGGGGATTTTAGTTTCCTTCCATAATTCACCTTAACGAGGGTAGGTTAACATGAACTGGGATATTAACTACAGCTGAGTTATTAAGGTGGAACGTAAATTGTAAAGTGTCCTTATGTGCGATAACTAACAGTTTTGAGGGACTATTCTCAAAATAGTGGGTTTTGGGGGACCTATCTCAAAATACCTAAGTTTTTGGGGGACCAGTATCTTATAAACCCTTTTCTTAATTACTGGGTTTTCCTTTTCCCTAGGTTTTATCTATATTACCTATTTTATTTAAGAGGGTTTCATCTTATGGAAAAAGAAAAAGATCTTTGTTTCCTATCATCAACAACCAATGTAAATTCTGCTTCCTTCACCAAAAATAAATATTTTGTATTTTGTTTCTTTTGTATGATTAGACATGGATGAGGGACGTGTTGCTTATTGATGCAATATGTATATTGCAAAACCTTTCAGCTACTATATCATGTTAATTACCTGGATAATGCTTAAATAACTCTATATAAAGTATTACATGTAGCACAATTTTTCAATATGGATGATTCACGTTTTTCTCTACAATTGTCTATAATAACATGCTATCTAAAAGCTGGAGGTGCATTTTCTGGCTTTCCCGATCCTACCCTAAGTTATTACATTTTTTTACAATTTCTAACTTAATAATATGGTTTTGCGTTGAGGGTATTTTTGAAAAATAGTGGCCCGAATTTCAGCTTCAATTGTTCACTCAATTTTGACATTCACTCTTATTCCTCACCCCTTGAAGCCATTTGAGGACGAAAAGGGTGGTGTTGTGATGGCATTGGCAACATGGATGTAGCCTATAGCTATTAGGAGTGACAGAGGTTAGGGTGGATGTGGGGTGATGGGATTGAAAACATGCCAGTGGGTGAGGAGGTGAGTGAGGGCATGTGCACCATTTCAGCCATTGTCATGTTGAGGAGAACAAAACGAAGGAAGGTGATCGATTGGTTGGCATTTGTTGGGAGAGAAAAGAGGATGTAAAAGGAACTTCAAGTGAATATCAATAGAAGATCAATCCACTCAGTAAAAGCAACTTTTGAGGCATTTCCTTCAGCTGATCATAATGATGAAAGTTCATCATTATCTGATGATAATTCACCTACAAGCGTACCATCACAGCCTCAAACAGATAAAAAAATCCTAAGTAAATGACTGTAGAAATTATTTTAGGATCTATATTACATTGCATTTGCATGCAGTTACTTAAAGATTAAAATGTGTTTAGTTACCTTGTCTTAAGATTTCTTAATGGCATAGTATAATTATATAGTAAGGGTGCCTAGCTTTTTATGCTTGTTTATTGTTACTGAGAGCTGCTAAGTTAATCTAAGTTATGAACCCTTTATATTACTTCTTTTTTGTATTTACTTTGTTAAATCTTATTTGATAACTCTCGAAAATTCTCATGTGTGGGTTTCTTTCTTTTATATGGATGGTTGCTCTTCTACAGAACTATCTGACTTCCCTATTTATCATTGGACGTTTTACATTTCATAATTGCAGTCTTGTTTCTAAAAATAAACTACTTATGCTTGGAAGTACTAAGTGAGATTTTGTGTAGAAACGTTTTATAATGCATCCAAGAAGTAAATTATTCATCCCCCTCAATCTCAGGTAGTACTGACAACATACTAATGTGTTTGTCTCTCCCGTTTCTTTATGCTAAACTGAGTGTTGTCATGTTGAATCTCATTTCAAAGTTGAAAGCAACTGGACTTTTAGCACACACATATCATTATTGAGAAGAAAAGATTGATTTGTTTGTATAGACTATAGAGCTTGAGTTCTCTGCTCTTCTCCACAGCACGTAGGGTGTACTTGTTAGTACATACTATGTTGCGAAAAGTGGCTCATATTCTGATTTGAGTTTTTGGAATAATTACATTGAAAACATAGAAATTATGGTTATATGACTTTTTAACACTTTGTGAAATTGTTTGGTTTATTTTCTGATCTGTAAAGCTTGTTGGTGTTACTCATCTAGCTTGTTTTTTTGATAAAATATTTTCTTTATTTGCTAAAAGCCTAAAACTATAGTTATGGATATCGTGGACAGAAATTTTTAAGTTTGAATGTTCAAACCTTCTTTATGTGGATATTGAAGCTTAAGTACATATGCTAAATTCATAGTAAAGTTTGTCAAAAATATAGTTCTGAATTTTTGTAATTTAGGATTTCATATAGGATGTATATTTTCATTTTGGGACATCTACAAATCTTTATGTAAATTATCTGATATGACACTCTATTTACTAAATGTCCCCCGTATTTCCCCAATATCTGTGATTCCTTATGGAATATTACTGTCCCTGATATCCAATATTCAGAACCGTGCATCCAAAAAACAAACTTTAATACATTGTCATTTACTTAAAGAAGAAAACTGCAATCATAACAAAGTAATAACACTACAGTCATACAGGGACCTTAGATCCTCGAGTTGGAAAACTCCATGGTTGCTATTAATGCATCGTCATTGGAAGTTCACCAGAACCGTAGGATGAAGATAACAATATATGTCATTTGAATATTGACAGATATATTATTATTCAAGACCTCTCCCATATAGTGTAGTTAACTACATGAAAAATGATGGCCCATCCATCGAATTCATAATAATGGGGAGGACTAACCTCGTTAGGCACTACATCCCACAATCCGTCACTGGCAAGAATGAGAAACTCCAAATCATTGTCAACATCTTGTTCCTGAAAGAATCACCTAAATGAACTCTTCACTAAGTAAAAAATGTGCACTTAGACATATACTTACAATTAACCAACGACAATGTAAGTGAAATTTGGAAGACAATAATGTCACAAACAAAATAAGAATTTTCCATGGAGAAGCATGATCCAATTTTTCAAAAATAAGCAAAAAACTTAGTGTCAATACACAATGATTTTGAAAAAAAATATACGAGTGAAGAGAAATTCATCTCGGTTAGCAGGCCTTTACAGAAAATAATTGAATGATATAAAATTCCATCCTATATAGAGACACCTTTTAAATTCAGAGACCTTGGTTACAGATCAAAGGTTAGTCGAAATACAAAATACCTCACAAGGCATTGTAAAGATATCTGCTACTTTTGGCACTAGAAAAACTTGAAAAACCAAATATTCATTTATATGCATATTAACCTCAAATCTAAAAGACTGTTGCTTTGCTTGAATAGGAGATTGTGAGACATTAAATATTCTGAATTTGATGTCAACATAAAACATGCTTGCCTCTTCTACAAACTTCCCATATACAACAGAGATGTCTATGGATACAAAAAATCCAGTAACTGGTCTACATGACAGCCCTTTTCTAATTCTTCATATGAAGGGATCCCGCTATCTCAAATGTGAAATACAGCTTGCTAATAGGCTGATACTCATGAGCAGATAATTCATGATGCAACATTCCAGTAAGTTATCTGCACTGTTCAAGGACCTATGCAGCCTTCAAACATTTATAATCAAGTGACAGAGAAACAAACCTAGAAATAACCTAAAGCATATAGTCCCACTAATTATACTCAGACAGAGAAAATCGTGTATTCAGTAGGTTTATCTTACATTTTAATAAGTTGTATAAGTGTCTGATATGTAATTGGGAGACCATTTAAACATGAAATAATTTAAAAATATATCATAAACTCAACAAAATGATTTCTTGGAAACAATAATTTGTTGCAATATTCAGAATGATTTTCACATCCTTTATTCTCAAGACAAGACAAAGAAACCTATTAGTGTCATTGTTATATGTCTTGAATTTTACGACCTGGATACATTCCATGGTTCACTCTGAATTACGATGCAAAAAAGAAAACTAACACGAGAAAATTCTGTAGAAGGCTGATGGAGTGGAGAGTTTGGGCCAACCAGTTCTAGTTTTGACAAATTTCCATATTGTACAATATGTATTAAGTTCTATAATACACACATCCACATAAAGAGCGACATTAATACTCCTAGCGCATAACTAGTTTGGTTATGCCCACCTCCAAAACAACATCACATGCTATCAACTTGAATGAGCCACTCTTGTTATTTTGGTCTACATGTTTTTAATGATCTACAAGCAAAAAAAAATTTAGGATATTGAGTTCTAGTTACTCATGCATCAAATGGTTGCAAAATTAAGAGTTTAACAACAATACAACCAATGACACAAACGTGAAACATGGTAAGAAGTATTCAAACATTGAGATTTTTGGTTCATATGTCTTAAGACAAGTGGGGAACAAATCATTGATTGGAATAGTCTTAATTCAGGCATCACAAAGTTCCTTTTGCCAGGGTAATAAATGCTCAATGCACATGACTTTTCATAATTGTTTAACTTTTGTAACCATTTGTTGTTAGGGTAATATATACTCAATTTACATGACTTTTCATAATTAGTCTTTAAGATATAAAGATCAAGCTAAACAGAGTAGATTGTGCAATTTTATTGCATAAAACACGTTTTTGTAAGTAGGCATAACTAAGTTAGTACTTCGTAATGTCCTAGGACTATTAAAGCTGCTCTCATAGGTGTATTCATGATTAAGATAGGGCTACACATTATGTCTCATACAAGGTTTTAAATATTTGATATCGAGGAAATATCGGATGACCAAAATTCATATCGGATTGCAGATATCAGGGAAATATCGGAGATATGTGGTAAATATCGAAATGCCATAACGGATGTTTGCATATATAGTATAATGCGCTAAAATGTAATCTCAAGTTCACAACATATTTAATGAAATCTAAGCATACAAAATGTAAAAATAATACATGTTTAGGATCGCTAATCAACCTTATAAAACAAATAAAAGTACAAATCAACGTTGCAACATTTCATCTGATTTTTTTATTAGGCCAAAATATCATTTGATATAATGGGAAAATCATGATATCTCGCTAAAAATTGCTAAACGTGATATATTGTTCTACGACAAGCCATATAGAAGGATATATCGGCCAACATATCGGCTAATATATCGGACCTATTGGTGATTCGATTAATGAGTCTCTACTCTCCTTTGCTCATGACAGGCCCTACAACATTATATTTATATGTAACTTGATGAACGAAAAATTCAAAAATTATATCTCTTCAAGATAAGATTACATAAAGTTGTTAAGAATTCAAAATTGAGTTTATCTTTTAGAATTTTAGATAGGAAATTGGATTTAACCAATTAGTTACTGTAGATCTTGAAGTCCATTAGGATAGAGATTTAAAGTGGTTTTGGATTAGATTGTTGTCTTGAAGTTTTTTTAAAGATAGAATTAATTTCAAATTTGTTTTCAGAGATATGATTTTGAAAACTATAAAGATGGGTTATGCTTTTCGTGGTAATGGGAGATTATGAAGAACATTTATGGAAAAAGTCAAGAAAAACTAGCATGAGACTTCCTACTGTAGTGGCATATGATTTTCCATGGTGTGAAGCTGTTGTCTTGTAGGCTAGATGCCTACGAGTAAATCCAATCTAACCACTCTATTTATTTTTGTATCATTATTTTATGTCTTAGTTTTATTTTAGTTCCAATTAATCCTATCTGTCCAACCATTTCTAGTCTTCAATCTTAACCCTCAAACATAAAGAATAAAAATTTCACCCAAGTCCCTAAACCCAAGTGAAGACTGCCACTCTATGTTGCATGGAAATGGGTATAGGTACAGGACACGACAAATTTGTGAGAGGTAGGGTACAAGGTCACGGATATATAAATATTTATATACAAATATATATTAATATTAAAATTAATAATTTAAATGAGATCAATATTGTTGTTTATTCACATGTCATGAGAATTAAAATTCCTATAAAATTCCTATTCTTTTATTGTGAGTTATAAATTGGAAAATTGCTTATTTTTGAACTAGAAACCGAAGTGACCCTTTAAAATCGTAGTTTAGATTCTGACATATGTCCAATGAGTTTCAAGAAATGGACGTGAAGTGTAGGATATATATTAAAGAAGTGTATGACAAGTGCTTTAAATTAAAAAATGTACTGTATAACTGAGTACATGCATGAAGAAATGTATGCATATATGCTAGGAGGTTTGGGTACGACTTCAGATAGAAGTACCCAATTAACAAATTGCACTCCCACAGATTGTCAGTAGAATAAAGCAAAAGCAAAACAAACTAGTATAATTTTTGAAATGTTGTTTTGTCCTTAAAATAATAACATTAGATAAAAAGAACCTGAGTTAATTTGATTATAACAACCTTATGATTATCAAAGCTTCTCATTTGTGTGAGTTGAAGTACATAATCTCCATTAAGTTGTTTGAGTTGAAATACAAACCACACAGGGCTTGTCCCACATAAGTTCCTATCCACAAATCACCTTGGGAACCACATTAATAACATAATGAACAATAATGTGTTGTGTTCACTGGAAGTAGTTCAAGCATGACATAGCACCTGTACCCTTAATCATGACATTTCAAACTCAGTTCCAAGTTCCAACTGTTTGAGGTGAACTTCAGGGCTTCTGCGATGATCTTCAACTTAGCATTTCCCTTCAAAATGCAATTGTCTATGAAGCAGGACTGAAAGCAAACAGCTCCACAAAAGGACTGAACAACCCTTTTAGAATCTACTCTCATCTTGGCCAACGTAACTATGAGAAAGAGAGAGTAATGCCCCATGCCATATACTTATAAGCTCGACGAAATTTGGCAGATAAGATATCCTTTTGGTTATGCAATTTAAACTGATTCAAGTAAAGAGCATAAAGGGCCAAAGGGGTCAATTGGGACCATGCCTCATCAAATTCTTTACGCAGACTTGGCCACTTAAGCTTAACCCTCATCAGAAATTTAGGCAAATTTCCTTATTTGCCACTTATTAAATTCAGCACCTCCTCTAAAACATTGTCTTTTCCACTAGTTTCATCACAAGTTTCAATTACAACCTTTTCCATCCTATTCGTGGCCAGAATTCTCAAATTCCTGGGCCTATTTCTTGTAGTTTTGTAGCATATAAGCAAACATTTCATTTTGGAGTTCCAACATAACTTGGTTTTCCCAGCAAGGATACCGAAATTAGTTAGTCAAAGAACAACCATTGCATTCTTGTTCCTTTTATTATTACAGTAACATATAGGTATCAATAACATTCAGTGCTTCACAGCTGAGAAAGCAATATATTTTTTATATGAACAGCATGCACTAGTATATGTGAGGGAGGAGCAGGGTTTATTTCTCTACGTAAAATAAGCTACTAAATTCGATGTAGAAACCACACCAAAGATATGATTAACCACCCAGTTTAACATAGTTATTACAGTGACATACCTGGATTTCAGGGTCAGCCACTACAAACCTTTTCAGTTGGCGATTACCAAATGCACGAGACATTGCTAATACACCTCCAACTCTCCAAGTGCCTGCAAGATAAATATGCCCAAATCAATCCCTTTGGTACGCAACAGCGCAGTTAATTTTCAACAACCTGGCTTCCCTGCATCACTATAAAAGCCCAAAAGATCCAGTTTAAATGAGCACAGATCAAAATAAATGGATTACGATGCTTAAAGCTAGATTCATCAAGACAATTTATCCGTCTCCTATTCACTTTTCCACAGTCATGAGCACTTCTTTATTTTTATTTCCAGTTCTCCAAGTCGAAGATGGAATTGATATAAGCAGTAAGACCCACAAAGATAACCTGTTTTATCAACAACATGCAATGATCCAGGAGCATGCCAACCACGGGCCAGGCCATGAAATATCAAAGTACTAGTCAGAGGAATTTTTGGTGGAGATGAGAAGAGAATCGGGTTACAACAGAGGATGACCAACTGCATTAGGATGCTGTGACTAGATAAGATATTACAGCAACCACTTATATGTAACAAGTTCAATCACCTCATACTAGAGGAAACCAGCTGTAACTGTTGTATCACTGGATTCCGATCAAATAATAAAAGAAAAACTAATAGATAAGATTTAATACAAAAATATAAGCACTATCAATCGATAGAAAAAAGAAAAAGAAGAATGTGATGATGATAAAACGCTAGTCTATCACAACCTCTATTTCAGATTGTGTAAGAGACAAAAGGTGATACTGATTTTTCCTAATAGGGCTAGTAGGGCATAGTGATCTTAATTCACTGAACTGTTGTATGGAAAAGGAACGATACGACAGGAATTCTTTGGATAAAGTAGTGCTCTATCCAAGAAAAATAACCACTTTATCGAGATCCAAACTTTTGACAGATACCCAAAATGACAATAATTTTGGAATAAGATACCGAACACATAAATAAAGCATTTCATGCAATCTGAATGTGATATCCTAAAGTGACTCGGAACATCTTGTACAAAAGGCTTTTCCTATAATTTGCTTCCGTATAAGCTTTGAAATTCTAGTTACAGTTTCTTCCAGATAGCCAAGCATTAAACTAACCATAACAAAATTTACATTTTATTGAAGAGATAAGTAAATCAATTGACGTTGACCTGTTTCCCGGTGCAAGTTCAGAAACCATAAGATAGTATGTATGGCAGTGGAGAGGTATTACCAGCCCATGTGATAACACCACCAGCAAGCTCAATTCTGTGGCGCTCATCACTTCTGTTTGGCTTGTGGTCGTCTGAGAGAGGGATAGCTACAAGCAAAAGCAAGGCTACATGCTTCAGAAAAAAACTAAAAATATTTCTGTGGAAATATAATGAATAACAAATAGACAAGGTCAACAGAATGATAGAGAAAGATGAGTATAAGAAAAAGAAATGTGCATAGACAGAAAACAAAAATATATGTCATCAGCATGCAGCCATGCACAATTCTACAGAAAATACTTCTACCCAGAACACATTAGTTATCCATGCAGTTTGGCACAGAGGCTTAAAATGTAAGTGAAATCTTATTATATAAATTAAATAAAGCCATTATTCTACACTCTAATATTACTCCCCTGAGCCACTGAACAGAGACATCTACCAGAATACTGTGTTTTGTCTCTCATGCACAATGCTTATCATAAAATGGTGTAGCAGAAACCAACTAAAGTCTATACCCAAAGAGTCAATTTTCTCTAGTTGTTTCCCTTAGGACCCAATTCTACATGGAATTTTTTGGATTATGGCAATCTCTTTCACTTTACAATCTTATAGGCAAGTCGACTTCAACAACTCCACTCTCCCGTTATTCCAAAACTCTTAGCTCAGTTGGAACTTATAATACATGACACTTCTGAAGCATGTAAAAATCACAGGTTAGGAATATGATCTGTAACATGAATGTGATTTCATAAAGAAAATTATGATGTTACCTTTTTTTTCTATATTCTTTCGAAGCCTAGGAAAATTTGAGGCTGATCCTTGGACATATATAAAATAGCAAGAACAGAAACATATTCTCAATTAGCCACCAGATTTCATATCATAATTCTCTTTCTCATCTTTATTCATGCTCCAGAACAAGCCCCAGGAGCAAAAAGCTTACATGTGATCATGAATTATAAGAAAACAAACTTCATTAATTATGTAGCTAGATTTACCTTCATAAGGTCTGTCTAAGAGAGCTACGTAATCCTCTCTGATTTTTGACTTCTTCGAGGAATCTCATATAATGATTGACCTACTACCTGATTTACCAATGTCTACAACTTATGCACAACTCCATATTTGACTTTCTTACTCTACCTAATATTTCAGCCTTTTGGTATCCCTTTAGTCAAACTTACAACAATGTAAAACTATGGCTTACAAGTTACAAGCAGTTAAATACCTTATAGTTTACCCTAATTTGCACACATCTGCCCTAACTTCTTTTCGCAGCACTTATACCTTGAAGTTTTTAAAAGTTGCACTTTAACGTCTTATGTTATGCAAACGTGAAAAATTTTCTCCAAATGATCCCACATGACATTCACAATATAATTTTAGAATGCTCCTAATGTTTCTTGAATTACCATTAAAGATGCCCCAGTCTTATTTTAAATTTACCATAATTATATTTGAAATTAGAATTATGGTAGGTTTAACAATAAATTCAACAAACATCCAGGGCTAGAAAGATCTAAAATTAGCTTGAGTTTCACATGGAAAATTTGGGGCAAAATTCTCATGTTTGCATGACATGTGATATTAAAATGCAATTTTTTGAAACTTTAGGCTACGTAAGTGCTACAACAACAAGTGAGGGTATATAGATGCAAAGTAGGGAGAACTATAAGATCATCAAGTGCTAATTAGCCTAAAACTAAAGCGTTTGTCAACAAGACACTTGTAAATTAGGAGAATCCACTGACTCTAAAGATTATGACCCTCACATTAGACTTCTCTAGCTCCTTTTTCCTGAGTCATGCCGAGGTTGTATACTACAAGAATGAAAAAGCCACAACAGGAGAAAAGAGTCATCCAGATTGCAGTCTTGGCATACAGAAAGGTTACAACAGAATTTCTTTCCAGTTGCATTATATTTGTATTGACCATCATAAAGTATAACTGAGGTATTAATCCTGGTAACATACTCATCAAATTGAAGTTTAGAACTTGAACTTAGCTTTTAAATGATGAAGAAGAAGAATTTGGAGAAGTTGATGCTTGCTGTCCAGAAATTTCAGTAAATAGAAGAGAGAAGACCCTCAAGAAGCACCCATTTAGTATGCATCATAAATGATCAATTAAATGTGTTCCTTTAGCGTACCTCAATATTAAAACCAACGGTAACATAAAATGTAATGCATGAATTCTAGATAGTTAAAGCGTATATAGCATAATGCATATCGTAGCCTACATGTTTTGTTTTTCTATTTTAAACAAATATAAATATTCATAATAATTTTAATAAATAGGACTACGATTTCAAAATATTAAAAAAGGATATTTTTAATAAAAAAATCAAAAACTTATAAGAAGATATAGCAACTTAGTAACAAGGAACTATGAAACCATCTCAGTCTTGGGGCTCAGGAAAATTTTAACATTGGGCAATACTGCATATCAAATGATTGCCTTTGATAATTGGAATATAAGGTGGACTGGGAAGAATCCTCCTTTCAGTTCATCTGCTGCCTTTTCCATGCTCAAGGCTGAATTCCTTAAAGTTCCTTGGTGGAGGTTAGCATGGAGTAATTTCAACCTCCCTCGACATTCATTCATTCTATGGTTAACTATGCATAATAAACTCCTTACTAAAGAGCATCTGCATCTTAATAGAAGAGGGATCCTGGTGGATACTAATTGTTCTCTCTTTGGTACTGCTAATGAGAATATTGCTCATCTTTTCTTTGAATGTGATATATGCCACAAATTATGGGAAGCTGTCTCTTCTTTTATTCAAGAGGAGAATGGCAATGGAATGAACTTCACCCATGGGTTATTAGAAGATGGAATGGTAGGGGTGGTATTGATAAAATTAATAGGGCTACTCTTGCTACATCTGGAATCATTGTTCCAACAGGTCATAATGTTCTTCAAAATTAAACTCCGTGATATCACCAAGTTAGCGGATTGCATAAAGAATAGGAGATGGTGTCAGGCAATGCACATTCAACCAGAATTTATATCTTAACTCAGATGCTTACAGGCCCCGGTACCTCAGTTGAATGGTGAATATGTGTATGGTTTGCAACTATGGTGTACAGATTTTGATGCAAAAATGTTTCTATGAGGCCAGGTTTGTTGGAGAGTGAAGTTTTGAGTGATGGTCATTTGGTTTATGTCAAATGTTGGTATTTGTTGAGCACGGTGTTTCTTCGATTGATTGTTCAAAATCAGGATCAGCTTAGGTGCTTTACCCTGGGAAAAGATGATACATAATGTTCATAGATAAGAGAAGAGTATCTTGTTTCTTATTTTCTTAAGAGAGCCTGCTGGTTACTTTGTAACTGAGGTTAGAGGAATTTTGTGTAGATAGGAACTCAGTAGCTTGAAGAGAATCTGTACTTAAAGATCTTTTCTGATTTTGAATAAAGCTTTCATGCAAAAATAAAAAGTACCAGAATAAAATATTCAAATATATTATCATAGATTTACATATCTCATTCATAATTTCACATTCACTTAGTTCACAACAAATCATAAATTCACAATCACAAACATAATAATGTCACTAAGCATCAATCATGACAATTGAAAAAGCAAATAAGGCTTAACAAACAATCCAAAAGCAAATACTCAATTGCTTCAAGTCTTAAAAATTGCAAACAAAGAAAATATTCTCAAGTCTATGGAGAAAAACTAGGAAAAATTCCGACTCCTTAAGAATATGAATCTGAGCATCTTTTTCCCTGACCTTTTCGGCGATGGGGCCCGATGTTAAAGCCCCCTTTAACCCAAAAGAATCATGTGTCCACTACCTAGTGCCAATGTGAATTTTTAAAAATCCTCAAAATACCCTCCCTTGTCCTATATGAAATAGCCCACTTTTTCCTCCCTTTTTCCCATCTCATGTTTCTCTTTCATCTCCCATGAACCCATGAAACTCATTAAACTCATTGACGCAAAATATCATAATTTCATTTCCTTCCTCGACCACCTCCTCTCCCCTCTTCGCTGAGTGAGAGTGAGACACAAACAAAGATGGAGTGATGGTACGAACATAGATGGAGTGGAGCAGGAAAGATAGGCGTTAAGGGTGAAGGTACTGGTTAAGGAAGGAGGATAAAGAAGAAACTTGTTACTTTTTATAATTTTATTCATAAAACTATTAAAGTAGGTGACTGGAGGACGGAGGAGAAGAGATAAGATGGTGAGGAGAAGAGGTAGTAGTTGAGGAAGGGGGGATTTGTTATTGTTTACGTTTTTATTCAAGAATCTTTACCATTGTTTATAAAGTTGTTACTTTTTGTAAATATTATGTTACATTTGTTCATAAAATCGTCGCAATTGTTCATAAAACTGTTACACTTATTCATTAAATTGTTATCTTTACTCTACATTATAAAATGTCACTTGTCGTTCATAAATTATTACATCTATTCATAATATTGTTACCTTTGTTAATTAAGATGTTACATTTTTATGTTTTCTATGAAGTACAAAATAAAATATCAATTTCATTCATAAATTGTTACATTTGTTTATTAAATGTTACCTTATAGTAAGTGAAGCAACAACGGAAGACGATGGCAGGTATTTTACTTGGAGTTAAGTGGAAACAAAGAGAGACGACAAAGAAAGAAAAGAGTAGCGGAGCAAGGAGAATGAGCAAATAGAAGGAGAGTCCATAGTTCCATAGTTGATAAGAAGGTTGGACGACAGAGAACAAGGAAGGTAGGCAAGGGGGGAGGAGGAGGAGGGATCATGGCGCGGAAAAACATAGATGTCCTAAAAGAAGAGACGTGTGGCAGAGGAGGAGTGGTCACGGCTGAGGAGGAGGAGGAAAGAAAAAGAGGCTGGGGTAGGAGGAGGAGAAAAGGCGGCTAAGGAGGAGGAGGAGGAGGAGAGGGAGCGGCAGAGGAAAGGCGGCAGCAGCGGAGGAAAGACAGATAATCACTCATCAACTGACCTAAACCCACAACCAAAATCCATTTACAATGATTTACTTCAAGACCAAATTGACAGATCTAATTGAATGTTAGACATTTCGAACTTCAACCTAACCTGAAATCCGAAGAAAATCGGACATTTTGAGATCTCGTGCATTCTCTATATTCGTTTGGAATAACTCTAAAATGAAACTTTGAGGTTAGAGCCCTTAATAAATATATGACATTCTGAAACTGTAATTGGACTAAATAACAATAGAAATTTATTTTAATAATGGAAATATCAGAGTAGCTAGAAGTTTCATTCTATCATAATACATACATAACATACATTGCATATTATTCTCATAATACTTGTGGTCTTTCTGTCCAAGTGCAGGTAGTACCCATGTTTAAAGACATCTATTCCACTAAGCCTCTTATCAAGCGAAATTAATGAAGACCAGGAAGACTAGATCAAAATCTGACATTTAATTTGTATATTCTATTCTGCAAATAACACCAAAATGGAACTTTGCATAAATATATAGAACACTAAATCTGATGAACATCCCAAAACTAAGCTACTACCACAACTCAACTTGAGCACAAAGGATTAAATCATTATCTTTGTGCAGCCAATTGGAGCACAAGGGACGAACTCTCTTCTCATCCACTTGAAATGTCCATGAGAACCTTTTCATTAAGCTACTTACAAGCAACACGTTTACGGAAAACTAGGTCTAGTCATATGAAGGAATTGATTCCGGCAATTGTAGGCATGCATATATCGGTATGAATATTAGAAATCCAAAATGAAATTATCATACACATTAAGGCGGCTTGATCAGGCAGAGGTATACTATGAGAATTAATGACTAGGAGGGAGATCATGAACAACTGGCACGTGTGCAAGAGGTCATATATAGTTGACACATAAGCGCCTACGTCGTTAATAACTAACAAGGTAAGGCTTTTAAATATTTAAGATGAGGGCATTTTAGAGAACTGATCTAAACGAAAGTTTTTGCAACAACAACAAAAGAAAGAAAAAAGATATGGCTAATAATGTGCAATTCCTTAAATAAGCGGTGATTACTTAACAAACTATTAATCGAAATTCATGATCATAAATAACACAATAGAAAAAGTAATTGGAAGATAAATTTGGAGAAATCAATAACTTAAGAAAGAAAGAAAAAACCTCTGACAAGTTGTTTATTAGGGTTGTACCTTTAACTATAGGGCTACAAAATACTTGCCATCTTAAAAGGAACAAGAAAAAAAAGAAAAAGTCAAGTATAAAGAAACACAGGCTACCTTTCCCTGCCTTAGACATGACAGCACGTGAATCCCCAACATTTGCTACATATAAATGATTTCCAATCAAAACTGCTGTTGAAGCTGTAGAACCATCATCCCGTAAAATATTTCTCTCAACATTCAAGAAGTCTGAATCAGTTTTTTTATATGTCTCACCTGTCGTATAACAGAAGGCATTAAACTTTTATTCCTCTTCTTTTTTTTCTTTTTTCTTTTTGGAGGGGAGACAAGTGCTTTAATTGCCAGGATTAAGAACTTCTATTAGGCATAACATCCATGGGTTGAACTTACTTAAAGCTGTTTTGGTATCTGTCATGAATTGTGGATGCTTCATAAGGTTTTCAAATAAGTGAGCCTTTAAATATTCTGCAGCACGTGAACCACCATGACCTGTCATGCCAAGTAATCAATCACTAAGATAAGTGAAAGTTCATGCTTTTAACATTATGACGATAAGTATTAACTCATGGAAACCAGACCATCAAATACCCCGAAGAGATTAACTGTTTCTCCATCAATTTTAGAGGTCTTCATGTCATAAAAGTCCTCCATGCTTGGTCTCCTGCCTCTAAAACTTGAATATCCACAACTCAATCTTCCATTATTGCTGAAAACCAACCAAGAGAACGTAAGGCCAAATATTGGAAGTAGACTTCCACATCAAAATACTAAAGAACCATCTTTTACTGAAACTCATGGTGATTAGAACGAAACCTTGGTTAAAATATGCTAACAAACATGTATTCAAATAAATTAAGAGTGATCTAACAAGAATTTCCGTAATTAATGTTTTACTTTTACATACATAAGATATGGAGAATATTGATGGCCATAGTTTTCTCTAGAATCCAGCATAATTTATTGTGTATTTGTATTAATGTAATCCACTAGAAATAGGTGAGGAATTCCTTTCCACACAATACAATGCAGAATGGTTGACAATAATAACTGTGTACATCTCTTCTGAAATTCCTAAAATGGGAAAATGAAATCAATAGAACGAACAAAAATAGGAACATGTAATCTCCATGTCCCTACATTTCATTTACATATATAGCTCATTTTATATGCATCACTTGCAAGTCTTATGAGGGTTTTGAAGACATACACCTGGATTGGAAATGCAAAGTGGCATTCAAGAAGTTTCTTTTAATATGGCATACAGAAATTATGACATCATGACAACATTTTGCATGACTCATTTTGTCAGAGACAAATCATTACCTGATTGATTACAAGCTTAGTTTGAAATGATGTTGAAAATTTAGCCTCCCTTCTCTTTCAAGCATATTGCTCCTAAGTTTTACAGTTTAGAGGTTTAGCCATCATTTCAACTTCTGAAAATGTAAAGATGATCACTGTTTGAAACTTCACAATTAACCAATCTTGTAAGACAAATAAAACAACATCCTCTTCGCCTAGTATATCAATTCCCAGCTACCACATATAACGTGTAAGGAATTGAAGATCCTTCTGGAGATTTGTTTGATGAACATGAACTTTTATTAAAAATGTTAAGCAAGTAGAAAAAAGAGCGTTGATCTCCATCAACTATAGAACTCGCAGCATCTAGAACAAAGAACTAGCAATTATGTGACCACAAAAGACACCTACCGGGCTACCATCAAGCCCTAAAGTAGGATAACCTCACATTGAATGGGAAAATAGTGATAAGACTTTCTTCGTGATCATTTTGAACTATACCTCGTTTACTATCATTTTCAACTTTGAAAGTTTCCGCTAACTTACTAAGCTTGCTTCACCTCACATCACAAGAAAGCAGTTGTAGCTCAAATCCAAATTTATAAATGGTTTATTTGCACTTTAATATCCCAAAGCTTCACTAACTTCTAACTTTGATGCCGTGAAGTTCTATTTTGACAAGCTTATATCCCCAGAGTTTAAACATAGACGTTAATCTGACAATTTCATACCCAGAGCGCCGAATTTGCTCCTCACTGCCCTGAAACTTAAAAGAGCTGGCATTTGGTAAGAAAATTTGTATCTCTTTCACATTTCTACTAAAATCAACTTTTCAGCACTTTTGAGGTATCAAATTGCCAGAATAGAACCTCCAGGCTGTCAAAAGTTAGAAATTCCACCCCCTCCCAAAAAAAATGTGGAAGAAAAGGAAAAGAAAACGAGAGAAGTTCTGACCTCATCCATCCTCCGCAAACATAACCGCCATCATTAACGCAATCTCTCTCCTTTAAACCGCCGACGACGACAGGTCCAGTTCCCGTCGTCGCGCCGCTGGAATCCACCATCATCGTCGCGGTCGCCCTAAAGCTCCGACGAGACCGAGGGAACAAGATCAGGCGATCGCTGCTCGCATGATCGAGGCCGAGATCTCGCCGGAGATTGAATCGGTCGATCGCCGGAGAACGAGCGATAAGGTTTCTGAGTCTAGCGATGCATAGTACCATCTGACGATTCGAATCGGCCGATAGCTGGGGATCGACGGAAAGGGAACAGCGAAAACAAAAAGAAAATAATAAAAGGGCAAATACCGGACAAGTTTTTGAAGGACAAATTTCCAAAACAGTCTTCATTTACAAAAATATTTCCAAAACAAGACCCATTTCAACATTATTCATCAAAACTGACCTAGTTTCAGCTATCGGGCTGAAACTAGGTCGATTTTAATGAAGAAAATAAAACTTTACAGGACTTAAAGTCCGGTAAAGTTTAGCAGCCATTTAACCAAGCTGCTAAATTTTATAGGACTTCAAGTCCCGTGAAGTTTCATAGTTCAAAACAACTTGACTTGAAATTCTTTGAAGTTTGAGCTGAATTTTCAGTCTCTATAAATTCGACCTGCAACTTCACGGGACTTCAAGTCCCATGAAGCAGCAGGTTTTAAAAAAACATGCACAGCTTGCTGTGCATGTTTTTTATATACGCAACGGTTTTCCTAAATGCATTTCACAACAATATACATGAAATTTTCACCATGAATCAAACAATATATACTGAATCAAATAATAATCAAACAATAATCACATATATACTGAATTATAACAATATTCTTAAAATTCAGCCATGAATCAAACACGAATCAAACAATACTCACAAAAATCACATATATAAACAATAATCGATCCACAAAAGTATAATATTTGAAAAATCATAAAAGTAACAAATTTCAACAAAATAAGATCACATACAACCCAAAATTCCTCCTCTCCTTCCTGTTCCTCTCTTCCCCCTTCCCCTCATCCGCTCCATCAGCATGCGAAGTGTCGGCTCTATCATCATGTGGCCTACGTCGTCGCGTGTACATTTACCCAAATGATCGAGACCTGTCCTCACGGCTTGCAAACTTGTCAACATGAGTCTTATAAAACACACTTTCTATTCTCTGCTTGATCCTGTTGAAGACCCCTAACGTCGTCGGATCCTAAATGTCAGGCATGTGCTCATTTACATCAGCTTCAATGTTATCAAAAGTATTGATCTGCGAGTTATGAAATATATACACAATTTAGCAAATAATATCTAAACTAAATTTTCAGTTGCACAGCCGGCTTGCCAAAGAAGATCTTGAACCTGTCCGTTTTCATGCTTCTTCTTGAAATTTTCCCTAATATGTCGCAAGCAATAACGATGTTGATGGAGTGACGGGAAATGGCGTTGGAGTACTATTGGAATTCATTTCATCCTATTAAATATGAATGTAATCGACCGCGTCCCCACACTAGGAATATGATATCTAATGCATGGAAAAAAACCACACCCAATTCTCTGTGTTTTCAACATCAACCACTGTAAACGCCAAAGGAAATAATCTGTCATCTGCGTCAACTCCGGTTGTAACAAGCAATATGTCTTTGTACTTACCGTACAAGTGGGTGTCATCAATGCTAAGAAGAGGACGATAATATCTGAAACCCTCAATACAAGGCCCAAATGCCCAAAATATACTTGTGAACCGTCGTTCTCCGCCATCAACAGGGTCTGATGATACTTCATAGATTGTCCTCGGATTTTCTCTTTTGAGTGCTTCGAGATAATATGGTAAGATCTCATTAGATTGTCCTAATCCTCGAATATTTTTATCATCGCCTTCCGCCTAGCATTCCAACATTTATTGTATGATACATCCAATTTGGTCACTTTATGCACTAAAAGATGAATATCTTTTGGCCTTAGATCAAAATCCTCCCTTAGATTAGGCATAATCAATCGATATATGAAAGAGACAGACGCGTGCTTATGATTCATCTCTAATCGAGTATTGCTATATGTGTGGAGTCCGTTGTAGTGTGTAATTTTAAATTGCCCACTTACTCTTACACCCAAGCATGAATTAAGCTTCCAAGGACATTTTGCATTGTCGTCATGGTGCCCACCACTATCATCTTCTGCGCCATCTTTACAGTAAAAACTAGGGATAACAAACGGGTCGGGTCGGGTCGGGTCGGGTCATAGTTGACCCAACCCGTATAAGTGTGATCCGACCCGACCCATTTAATAAATGGGTCAATGTGATCCGACCCGTTTATTAAACGGGTTACCGGACCCGACCTATATATTCAAAGAGTAAAGAATGCACTCAAATAGAATAATAAGATGATCTGATGGATTAAATCATCGGAGCGAGAAGGTAATCGGCCTCTGAATGCTAGTATTTACCTTGCGTAAACTACTACTACTGCTGTAAAATAAACTTAAATGGAAAAGCTACCAAAGCTACTCAGGGACGAGTCCAATAGCTTTAAACCACTCCTATACAATAATGGTCACTATTGCTGGATTAATAGGAAACCGATAAATAAAACAATAAAGCGAGAGAAAAGCAAACTGCGTTAGAATAAAAACTATCAAACTATCTATGAATTCGTGAGTACAACTTAGAAAATCCATTAGGGAAACAAAACAACAGCAGAAAGTAAAGCAATGGGACACTAAAGTAAGGTAGATTTTGGTTGATTGTGTGTGAGTATGTTCTTCTTCGTTTGTCATCAAATATGCAGGGTTTCGCACAATACCAGCAGCCGCCAACTCTTAGTCTAGAGCCTAACTGATTACTGTCGTCCTCACTACCGCTGTCGTCGCCGCCAGGATCACCGTCGCGGTGGCGGCCAGGGCAAGTGGGGCCCAGCTCACCTTCTCGCATCCTCTCCGGCGATTCTTGCTGTTATATGAATACCTTCTAGGGTTTGTGATTGAGATTGGATAATTAGTATCAGGTTGCTGGGTTGCTGGTTGTTAACTTCTTATTCGGGTCAGTGTGTTATACGGGTCAGTCGGGTCAACCCGAATTGACCCGTTTAATAAATGGGTAAATTTGGGTTGACCCATTTATAACCCGACCCGTATAATTCAACACATACCTATTATAAATGGGTCGGGTTGATGGGTCGGGTCATAAATTGCCACTCCTAGTAAAAACAAACCACATTATAGCTTGTTGCATTGTTTTTTGTTGGCCTAAACTTGACATTTTTTGGATGGCCCACAAATAAAGTGCATAAATCAATTTCTCCTGCTTTCAAATAGATCACCCTTTTTGAATGAGAAGTCCTCACCTTGTGTATCATCAATGATATTATTGCCGATTGGAATACTTTCTATCGTAGAGTTAGCAATCCATTCTTCTCCATGAAGTTCATTGGGCGGTAGATCCTCTAACACGACATACTCATTGTTAGTATAATATCCGTCAATATATTAGTTGTCCCCTTCATCACGATCTATCAAGCATGTCATGCTATTAATTTGTAAGTCATCCTCTTTATCACCATCCTCAGATTCGACACTTGCATTATCATCTTAATAGGCGGTATTAGTATCGAATGCATTTGAAGTGCCCACAAACGAAGGACTGCTCAAGTATTGTGACTGTGTCCAACCTTCATCTTGTTACGGAGATAAAAAGCCGACAGAGTCAACTTCAATATCCTCCAACATGCGGGAGTACATTCCAGCGTGATTCACCGATTTGCCCAAATTTCTCTGATGTTTTTTAATAAATAATTCCACCGAACGCTTCTCATCATGTAATACTCCAATGAGACACATATCATAGTCACTTGAGATTTGAATGTCACTTGTTCTGTTCCCCTCAACAGGATAGTTACAAATAATATTAAGGTGATACTCACGTGAGTTGGTTAATGTAAGTTTGTGGAAGTCATTAACCAGTTCATCGAAAGCAAACGATTTTGATATAAACAACGGCTTCGTCACACCTCCTTCATAAACGGGCATGTTATTTTCAAGATAGTTAATCTTTCCATCATATGAACAAAGAATTACGATTCGATTGTTCATCGTTATCTCTGAAGAGTAAAAAATTCAATATCAATATTACACGAAAAACTTAAGATAATGTTACTTACCATTAAATCTCTTAGATCGATTTTAGAAACTTATAATTTTAACCAAATGTCAAACATTTGTAGTAACTTCACGGTTACAAATTTTAATAATTTCCCCTCTAACTTCATACACAATATTATTTAATTTTTCTTCACAAAATTCAAAAATAATTCCAAATTTATTTCAAAATCTAATTTTTTACAAGTAATCACCAAGAAATTGTGAGAATATACAAAAAAATAGGATTAATTTTTTTAAAGATTTTACATTAATATTAACAATGCACTAATTTCTGGTAAACTCCTATGGTGATGACGGCGGTGATGTATGGTGGGGCCGGCGGTCGGTCCAGCGTCGGCATCGGTGATGGTGACGTCGGTGAGGGGTGGGGGTAAGGGGCATCGTGTTCAGGAGAGCAGCTAGGGTTTGGGTGAGGGGCGTCAGGTTCAGGAGAGGGGTCGCGTGGGATATGAGGGCGTGGGTCATGGGAGTGATCGCGTCTGCCTTATATAGGTAGAGCGAAACTCCATGGTACTTGAAGTCCCGTGGAGTTGCAGGCCGCTTTTTCCAGAGAGTAGTTTCTCTGGAAAATACGCCTGAAACATCACGAGACTTCAAGTCCCGTGAAGTTTCAAAGCTGAAACGAACTTCACGGGACTTGAAGTCCCGTGAAGTTTAGCAGCTTAATTAAATGGCTGCTAAACTTCACGGGACTTCAAGTCTCGTAAACTTTGGGAACTTCTTTCATCAAATCCGATATAGTTTCAGCCCGACGGCTGAAACTAGGTCGAGTTTGATGAATAATGTTGAAACGGGTCGTTTTTTGGGAATATTTTTGTAAATAAGACTATTTTGAAAATTTGTCTAGTTTTTGAAAGGGTTTTCTCGATGTTAAGGGAGGGGGTGTTTGGTTCAATACTGGGCAAGAATAGTATTAGGAAAAGGATGTTTTTATGGATTTCTAGCTAATCCATAAAAAAATTTAAGACAAATTTATGGAATCCTTCTTTCTTTCTATGTTTATTTTATAACATGAAAAATAGAATCCAACTTTATAGAAACCCTCCAATTCCTATTCTTTAGTTTGTTTTGGAATGAATTTTTTTTTAAAATGAGAAAATTTTAGGATAAATGGTGAGAACACCTTAAGTATTCTTACCACTCACTAATGGACTAAACATTTAAGTAAGAAGATTGAG